TGTGTGTGTGTGTGTGTGTGTGTGTGTGTGTGTGTGTGTGTGTGTGTTCTTATCAGGTGAAAGGAAGGTCTTACCTTACATACTTACTGCTTTTGGTTCTTGCTACAGGAATGAAGTAAGTTATGTCCCCAAGGGTCTCAACTCCCATGTTCCCTGCTCCTGAGGGAGAGGGGGTTGGTGGCCAAGGGGTCTCTCCCTGATCAAACAGCTGGGTGGCTGATCACCCCCAGCAATGGGAGCCCATCGCCTGGAGCAGGAGGGTGAGTAGGAAGAGCGCTGGGCTGAGAGTCAGGAGATCTGGCCTCTGTTGCTGCTGCACCACTTACTAGCTGTGAGGCCACAGGCAAATCTTTTAGCCTTTCTGAGCCTGTTTCTTCATCTGTAAAATGGAGATAATACCTTCCCTTCCTGCTTCACAAGGTTGTTGTGAGGGCCAAATAACAGTATAACATAGCTCTGTATCCACTGAGTAGAGTGATATGTGAGTGTACAAGACTATGGCATGGTCACCAACAGCTGAAGGAACTTATGTCAAGTCACTTTCCTGAACTTCATCTATAAAATGAGAGAGGTGGGCAACTAATTGCTCAAGTTCTTTTTAGTACTATGCCATGACTCTGTCAGTCTCTCTTGATTTCCTGTTCTTTTGGGGCTGCATAGTAGTGCATATAACACATTCATTCGCTAAATTATTCTAGGGAAATATAGACTTAAACTATGTTAGCAGTGCAAATGGCTAATATGCATTTCCCTTTCCTATTCATAGACAGCACACTAGCTGAAAAAGTTTTCTTTTTAAAATCTTTACATTGGCTTTGTAACATGCACTATGATGTACACTACAGGGAACATACTTGGATTTTTGTCCTGATCCATGCCTTGTTCGTGGGCTTCCTGCCACTCCCAACAGGTTTCACAGTAAGCTCGTATCTGTTCCAAAAGATGAAGGACTCGGATTTCACGCCTGCCTCTCTTGTCATCAGGCTGTGAGTGAATGATGTTGTGGAGTGCTGCACTGGCCCTGGCCCGAGCCTCTTTACTGCCCCGAGAATTTCCCAACAACACAGAGTCTTTGTCATTGCCATGTAAAAGCTGGATGAGCAGAGGAAGACATCCAGACTGTCGCATGGATATACAGCTGTCCTGGGAGCTAGACATAGCTAGCAAAGTTCGTGACATATCATCCTTATCATGAGTACCAAGCATTGACAACAATGAATACACCATTTCCACCTGTGGGCCAAATGAGTTTAGAAACAAAATTATGACTTTAATATCTAAAAGCCAACACCAGTGAAGTGATGAATGGGATACTTATTGTAACTCATTAAAAAAACAAAAAACTTTTTCCAGGATGAAGTAATGAACATTATTTCAAAATCTATATAATCATCACCAATCTGTTTATAGGAGTAAATAATAGTAAGTGCTAGTATACAGCGTTAAAAGAGAAAGTAAGTTCTAACATACTTAAATTGCTGTTTGTCTAGATCAGCTGGTGATAATCCATCAATTATAATGAAGGGAAACAACTAATTTCACATATACGCATAGAAAGGAATGTGGCCTATCTAAATTCTTTGCACAATTAAAATGTTTATTTCTTTTAATCTATAACTATAATTAATAAATAGAAAACATTTTTCTATAATCTTTATGTACTATACTAGTTATCAGCAATCACTAACCCTCATTGGATTGTAATTACAATGGTATTGTTAAAATTATAAGATTTCTCCCTTATATATGCAAAAATAGTTTGTCATAAAAAGAACAATGCTATGATCACATAGGGAGTACAAAGCCAGAATTCTTACTCAATTTTTTTTAAAGCAACCATTAAGCATCAATTACTCTCAGACAATAAAGTCTAAGGATTTACGTAAAAACTGATTAGAAACAGGAAATATTTCTATAGTACCCTGTTCTCCTAGACTGTGATCACACTTATTTCAAAGCTCAAGGTTATTATATAAAAGTAGAGTACATTATATAAAGAATGTGTCATGTCTATAAATCAATGGTTCTTAATGGGGGGGGGGCAATTTTGCCCTCCCTCCCTCACTTTTGGCAATATCTTGGAGACATTTTTGGTTGTCACAGACACAGGAGGAATTGCTATGGGCATCTAGTACAGACCAGGGATGCTGCTAAAGATACCACAATGCAACATAAAGTATCCAGTCAATAGTGCTGAGGTTGAGAAACTCTACTCTAAATGTGTAAACACACATTACTCTTAGGTATAAAAGTTTTAGGAAGGCAGTATAGAACTGTGAATAAATGGGCTTTCAAATTCTGGCTCCAACACTTACCAGCAAGCTGTGAGATACTACCAAGCTATTTGATTTCTCTGAGCCTGTTTTCTCAGTTGGAAAATGGAGGAATTTACCTAATAGGGTTTTCTCTGTGAAGATTAAATGAAATAATACATGTACAGGGTAGTAGCTGGATTAAAAAATGTAGTAAGGGCTTAATATTATGCAAATCACTTCAAAAGGAACAGGTATTCTAGTTGCCAGTTTTCACACGGCAGTATGTTTAATATTAGAGATTTTCTTGACGTAAAAACTAGATGGTGATACTGGATAGATCTAGGATTGAATTGCAATTTAATTACACAACAGCTGCCTGAAACTTTTCTTTGTATCAGTTTTTCACTTAATAAAGAAAGAGGAACAAGAATATTTCAGTGTTTTTGAGAAGATCAGAAATAACCTACATACAACTCCTAGTAGTTACTTGCATACCAGAGATCCCAAGTAGTAACTATTGTGAGTTATTAAAAGGATTAAGTCTCATATTAATATCATGGATTACTCTAAAACTTACTTCTTAAATTGACTTTAGTTATTTCAGTAATGCTTTCCTTAAGAGCTATTTCATTACGAAAGTAAAGAAAGAGTATATAGAGCATGCTGTGAAAACAATTAATGGGATTATTTATATTTAATGGAAAATATATTGTTTAGTGAG